CCTGGTGTATGTGGAGAGAGGAGACTCTGGTGAAAGACACTTCACAAACCTAAAGGCAGTAAACCTAAGTGGAGAAAACCTCGACTTGATGTATTCAAAAGTAGTGTATTCTAAAAAGAAAACACTTGTGGAATAATATTGAAGTTCTTAAATTCATATTTTTGTATATTCTTCCTCACTGGTTTTGGAAGTTTTGTATTTTCTTCTCATCTTTCCTGTAACTTTTTGTCATTTCTTTTTCATCTCTTCTTTCTTTCTTTCTTTCTTTTTTCTTGGTTGTTTCAATCTAATTCTATTAATTTTTTTACCCCTTATTGGAATAACATATCTCACTTTCCTCTCTTTTCTGACATTATTTAATTTTTCAAATTTAACTTTTTCATTATCCCATTCCCAACTCATCTATTGTAACTAGTATAACTGTTACACTTTATAAATATTTCGGTAGTTAGATCACTATTATTTTTGAATTCTTTTCTTAATAGAGGTATAGTAGCATTTAGTGGATATTTACTATATAACAATACAAGTATTGTTATAGTGACAATATGACATGGTTTGCCATAGTGTTTATACTTTAACAATATTTGTCTTTTCTATGTTTAGTCTTGTTACTTTACTAGTTCTTACGGTATGTCTCCAGCTTGTCTTTGATGTGATTATACTTAGTAATTTTTTTCCTCTTTCCAGGGTGTCATAGTTGTTGCTATTAATTGGTTTTCTCTGTATGCCAATATCTGGGTTGCATTTGTGTCATTAATGATAATGTGGTACATTTACAAAGACTTGAGTCTTAGGACAATTATGATACATCATCCCTTCTCAAATTAATGGAGGTAGCTGGATTTTCTTTTTTAAAATATATTTGGTATAGAGTCTCACTATGTAGCTCAGACTCAGTTATCCTTCTGTTTCAGTCTCCTCAATGCTGGGATGGCAGGTGTGTACCATGATGGTTAATTTTGCTGGGTTCTTCAGTGTGCCTGCGGATAGGGCTGACATGGTATGTGCTGCCAGGGATTGATCCCTCAACAACTGTGCTTTCCTAAGCAGGCATTGAATCTGCTGAACTATCTTGCCGACCATGGATTTTCAAACAGAGAAAAGGGCTTATAGTTAATAGTAGCCTGAGTGCATTGTTGAAAACCAAACACTAAAAAGGAGGTCTCCATATTAGCAATAAAGTCCTTATAGTATATTCTACCTATAACCATTAGCATATAGAAATAGATAGTTACAGAAATGGGGCAGCAAAATGTTACCAAAAATTCACAAATGCTACAATGTTGACATTAGTGCAACATGATGGAGGAAATCAAAAGGCACATAGCAACCTCTTTAAAATAAAACAGGGAATTAGAAAAAGATCAAAGTACTGGACAAACTCAGAGAATATTTAGCTGAGCAAGTAATGGACTTAGAGTACAAATAAGTGAGTTTATGGATGACAGTGAAAATAGATATCTGAGCTAAACAAAATGATACAAAACAAGACTACCCAGATCAAAAAATTAGAGTTGATGAAATGGTATCGCACAGAAATAATGAGATTAAATATTTCATTGACAGCATGGGCAGATATATAACTAACATTTATGTTAGATATTTACTAACATAAACATATATGCACCAAAGACTAATGTCAGCAATCTTATATAAAAGATACTACATACCATAAAAGATGAGAAATAACATAGACATTATTATAGTAGGAGACCCCAATACACCACTCTCACAAATACACTGAATAAAAATCAAATGATGATTAGGGCAAAGTATAAGAACTAGAAATTATGGATCATGTTAGTGATAAATTTGTCATAGCTACCTTTAAAACAAAAAGAAAATATGAAAAATTTATCTAATAATTGCTATATGACTCAAAAAAGTCTATGCAAGATTAATTAGAATTGCTAAAATTATAAGCTTGCAAAAGTGGCATATAAATGTTTGTGGAAATAATAGTGCAAACTTTTCCAACTCTGAAGAATTAAACATACAGAAAAGTGCTTTATTTAAAATCATAAATGATAATGATCAAAAGTCTGTCCGCAAAACATCAAAGACATAATCACACCAAAATGAATGAACTTCCAACCCAGATTCATATGTCCTGCAAAACAGTCTTTCAAAAGCAATGGTGAAATGGGGTCTTTCCATAGAAAGAATGCCCTAAGAAATTCATGGCCACCAAAGTAGCATTCCAAGAAATTTTCAGTGGCCAGTGTGATGGCTCAATAAATTAAGTGCTTCCTTGGCAAGTGCAAGGAACATCCCAAAAGGTTAAAGTGAAGCCAACAACTCTTTCTTGCCTTTTTTGTTTTTAAATGCATTTACTACAAGGTCTACAGGGTCTCACTATACAGATTGGGCTCCTAGTGATCTTTCTGTTTTCAGCCTCCCAAGCACTGGGATTACAGGCTCATGATACCAAGCCCAGTCTCAGTCACCGTGTCAGTGCACCCTGGGGGCGGGGCTGGCATGCCATGCTGGGAATCAAACTCTTGTCCCTGCATTTTCCTAAAAAGATAATTTAATTTGCTGGACTATCTGGTCAGCCTGAAGCCAACAATTCTTTTTTTTTCCTGTACCAGCGATTGAACTCAGGACCCTGTGCTTGTGAGGCAGCCACTTATTCTACTGAGCTAACTCCCCGGCCAACAATTCTAAGAAGACTAATACAGTGGACACACCAGGCAGCTTGAACAGTTACATAGTAAGAGTATGGGGAGTCAAATTAGCAACAGGAACAATAATGCAATGTAAAGAATAAGTCAATGTCATTCAGTATTAACTTTCATGCAAATGTCCTCAGTTCTACAATTAAAACACATGAAGTGAATAATGGAATCAAATGGAAAAAGATCACTTTAGGTCTGTTATATTAAAGAAACACATTTAATTAAAAAAGAACTTCATAAACCAAAAATCATAAGATAGAAAGCAGTAGGCCATGCAATGCCAACAGGCAGAAACAGTTAACATATTTTCAGATAAAGCAAACTTTATCCAATACTGATCAGAAGAGTCAAGGCAGGTCACTACATAATTGGTTTAGGAAACAATTCATGAGGAAAAGATAATTATAAATATACATGCACCAAATACCAGTGCCAGCAATCTTATATAAAAATACTACATACCATAAAAGATGAGAAATGCATAGACATTAATATAGTAGGAGATCTCAATACACCACTCTCACAAATACACTGGATAAAAATCAACAAATGATGAACGTGAACCAAACTTTCATACAAATGCACTTAATATTCATCTACTGTGTCCCACTAAACAACATCTGAATAGATAATCTTTTCAGAAAGAAAATTGAATGTTCTTCAAAATAGACCACATACTAGCCAATAATGCATGCTTAAGTAAAGGTAAAATAATTAAAATTGTCTCATATGCTAGTGGATGAGGACGGAAGCTTCTCCAAAGTTTGTCAGGAAAGCCAGCATGACAAGATCTTCCAGCAGAACACCCCAAGAGAATTAGCAGCCTCCAACAGCTTCTTCATACAGTATCCCTAAATGTTTTGGCAGCTTCTCTTGTTCTGCCTTTTTAAAAATTAATTTTATTGAGAAACAAATACTAATGGGACAGTTTCAAAACAGATTAGTAGGACAGTTACAATAATTAATAATAATATTATAATATATATATATATATATATATATATATATTGCGGAACCAGGGATTGAACTCAGGCTTTTGTGCTTGCCAGGGAAGTGCTTATTCCACTGAGCCATCTACCTGGCCCCAATACATTGTATATTTTGTCTTCATAGTAGTTATTCATAGAACAAGATGCAGACATGATACCCTGTCCAAACACTATTAGTATAAATGTTTCTTCTCATTGAATTAAGAGAAAGTAGCTGTATATCTATCCTAATTATTTTGTATATACAGATACAAAATAGTCCTTCCTTTATATCCGCCTTTTTTTTTTAGTTTTGTCAGAGATGGGTATTCCGTTGCCATATAAATATTGTAGGTGCTTGAATGCAACAAGATAATCCAATATAGTTAGATAAAAATGTTACATTTCTTATTATATGTCTTGGTTTATCTTGGTTTTAACCATCCAGTAGAAAAGTATAAAAAGGAGGTGTAAAAAGTAAAGCCATTTTAATATGCTGAGCTGTAAAAGGCTCAATTCAACAACTTCTGACAATTGCCAGTTCTGTGAATAACCCACTACTATTATGGACTGCTGGACTATATTGGATTATTTTGCTGAATTCACACCCCTCCTGCCTTCCCTTATGCTGCTGACAACAATCTTCAAGTGGGCCTCCCACACCGAGCATAATGCTGGTTTAATTCAGCTGGGTGTAATAAGTTAACCACCAGTTAGAAATCCACTACATGGAAATTAACAATACACTTTCTGAGAAACTTGGAATCGTAGGGGGAAAAAGCCAGTTCCTAGAATCAAATGATAATATCAGTAAATCATAGGACAAACTATGGGACACAATTAATGAAGTCCTAATAGGAAAGTTTAAAGCTGTGAATGTCTGTATCAAAAACAGGATAAGCCCAAATTTACAACCTAATTATCTCCCTGAAGGTTTTAGATAAACAAAAACAATTAAAATTTAATATTAGTGCAATGAAGGAAATTATAAGTACAGAGTATATATTAGTAAAATTGATATTTGAAAACATAAACATCACCAAGTTGCATGGAGATATGGCTTAGTGCCACAGTCTCTATATAATACTTGCAAGGTCCTGATTTCTATTCTCAGTAGCAACAAAAAATAAATCATCAAATAGAATGGCTGTGTTTTGAAGCAAGAAACAAAATATACCATGCCTTAGATAATCTTTTTTTTTCTCATTAGCATCAAATTTATTTGCATTATATAATCATTAATTTTTTATTTTTACTTTCCTTTTTGAGACAATCTCACTGTAAAGTGCAAACTTAATTCCTCTTGCCTCACCCTCAAGATCACAGGTCTATAACCACTGCTCCTAGTAGTAATATTCCTTCTTTTGTGTATCAAAATTCATAGCAAACAATGAGTTCTGGATTGCAAAAGAGGATTTATTTTTTGCACCTGTTTCATTTAAGTTTTAGTCCACAAAAGATAACACAAAAACACATGCAAGTATCATGGTACAATGCAGTACATACTTAACAGAAGTCAGCTACACAATGGCCATCATAAGGAAAACTACAGTTGAAATAGAAAAACTATTCACCAGGTACACTACAAAGCTATTTTTGAGCTGCTGAGGAATCAAATCAAGGGCCTTGTGTTGGGGTTAAAAACAGTGTACTGCATGAATGTAGGCAGCTGGTTGAATGCCAGTGACTAAAGTTTTCTTTCAAATGTTTCAGTGACATCTGAGCTCTCACTGAGTAAAAAGCAGTGATAAAGAACAGCAGAACTCAAAAGTGGTAGCTCAGCTATTCCCTAGTGTTTGAAAATTTGAAATGTTCTTTCTTTACTTTCTTCCACAAACTTGTACTAGTTTATATTCTTCTCTTTAGTTTAAGACTTCAAAATATCTCCTTGTTAATCTCATTATAGTCATTTCTTGCTATCTAAAAAAAAAAACAAAAGAAAACAAAAAAACACCACTTCTTTCTGTATATTGTAAAACTTCTTTGACATTCACATATTTATCACCATTTTCAGATCTTTCTGCCCTCTGTCCATTATTCCTGGCCTTAGAAACTCTCTTTATAAATAAAGCAGCTACTTTATTATTACACATTCATTATGCTTGGAATTTCAGAACTTATAATGAAACAACTCTCCTCTACTAATTTGATATCACATGCATCATGGTCAAGATATGTTGTCTCAGGTTCAATCTCTGGGCCTGCCATGCCAGCCCAGCCCCATAGGCAGGCTGAGACAGCAAATGAAACTGGGCGTGGAGGCACGCACCTATAATCCCAGCTTTTGGGAGACTGTAAACAGGTGGATCACTATGAATTCCATCTAGTAGTGAGACACTAAACACCCTATAGACCCTTCCCTAAAATACAAAAAAAACAACACAAAAAGATGTGTTGTCTCATCTTCTGCTTCTGACTCTTCAACAGGAGAAATGGAGCCATCAACACCCAAGCATTTGTTTTTTTTAAATTTATTTTTCAACAAATAATACACTGCATATATTCTTCTTAGTGGTTAATTGCTGTACAAGTTGCGGACTTGTGATCCTATTTACAAACACCATTAGAACAAATAATTCTATTCATTAACAGAATGTAACTATATATCTATCCCAACCACTTTGGATACACAGATACAAAATGGACATTCATCTGTATACCCCATTTT